TTTAAACCCTAATTAAGTCCCAAACCCCTGGTGAGGACACGGTGCTCACCGACGACCTTTTCTTCGCCATGGTGTGGACCTTGAGACAACAGGGTTGAGTTGAGGAATTGCAGGGTTTTAGGTTTAGTCCAGGGTAAAAAGGGAGCAGTGCTTGGGGGTTTGGGTATTGATTCAGCGATCTAAGGGTGTAGGGATTGTATTCAAGAAATTTCGGGCTTCGTTTGGGATTAGGGCAAAAACACTCTTGTAGTTTAAACACTGTTTCCCTTAGCCCTTAGGCAGGAATCGACGGGAAGTCAAGCTAGTTGCTGTAGGTTTGTCAGTTTAGAGGTGCAAATTTTACCAGCTTAGAGGTGCAAGTCTAGGGCTTCGGATAAAGGGCCATCAAGGGCGGGGGATCTAGAGCCCAAGTTTTCAGCTCGGTACAAGGGACAAAGCTTACAGTTTTGAGTAGGCCGAAAGCATCGAACCTCGTGTTTTCGCAACACCTGGAAGCCCTTGATTCTTAGAGCCTGGCTGCATAACAGTTCTGTTTTGGGGTTTAAACGGCAGGCCGCCCTGCTTGAATGTTCAGGGCTTCACGGCTGGTGGCTTAGAGTTTAGGGTTAGGGTTTGGAGTTTGGAGGCGAAGAGTTTAGAGTCTCAGATGGGGGAATGGTCCGGCGCTTGCGCAAAAAGCGCTTCGTGCCGGGGATTGTTTGTAGTTATGGTCCTCCTCGACTCTTTCCGTGGATTGTCAGGTGTTGTAGGTGGATGCTATAGCGTTTGCAGAAAGGATCGGCGGAAATCCTAGCGCTTTGGGCCTTGGTGCCACACTCTTTTAGCAACCCATATGCCCTAAAAAGATCAAAGCCCTAAGACCTCACAGCTCTTAGCGTACCCCAACAGCTCTACCGTAAAGGCTTCAAGTGTAGGAGTTTCACGACGCGGTACCCTAAAGAACAGTTTTGTGCTTTACAAATAATTACGTGCTACACGTTAGATTGAATCCGTCAACTTCCCCTCATCTCTGGTCATGACATTCGCTCCAAAGCCCAATTGCAGATACTTGGAGCGAACGGTTTGTGCTCGAGCCTTTGAGCCTTAAGCTCGGTTAGGCTGATTTAGCCAGGCGGAGTGCAAGCTATTCCCCTTTACCAAGGATGCCATCAAGCAAGATCAGCTACGGCGCAGCCGGTGAAGGTGCGGAGGTAGCGCTGCAACAGGTTTCAGGGAATGGTAATTACGGCCATATGGCCTGTAGGATTTGCACCTTGCATTGAAAAACCTTAAACAGTACTTCCCGTTCAGGATGGAGGGTGCTGCGAGCGGTCTTCTGTCAATGGGGCCCGTGGGGGTAGAGTTTAAGTTCGAGGCTCAATGACTTGGCAGTATGCGGACCCCAAACCACCGAATCCTAACCCCTAAATCCTTAACCGTCATGCCTTGCCAACCTTGTACGAATGTGAGCATCGAAACCGCCACAGGGATTGAGGATTTTATAAAGCCTGAACGCAACAGCCCAAACAGCTGTGCTGCCCTAAGGCTCCATAGTAGTTTCTTTCTTGGGATTACCCTATGTATAGGATTCTAAATATGAACCCCCAAAAGGAACTACTATGGAGCCTTAGGGTATACCCTCGAGAGCCCAAAGTTTCAGGCGGTGAAGGAGTCCTTGTCTTATGCAGGCTTCACGTGGCTTTCATGGCGCTAGTATAAGGACTTGAATACTTTGAATAAGGCGTTGGTGTATGTTGTTGTATATTTATTAGGCCACTATATACTTCCATAATATTCCTTAAGCCGATTTAGGCTTTAGGTTTTGGGGCAAGTTCGCCCTTCCCAAGGTCTCGGATCGGGGCCTTGCTCTCTTCTGCTCATTTCCAGTCTGGGTTCGCTTCCTTGAGCCTTTCGGCTCCGACCTGATAAGGGTTTAATGGATTTTGGGGTTAAGCTTCAGTCAGTGGTCTTCTACAGCTTTTCCTTCGAACTCTTGCCTTAAAATGGGGCTGCGAGTTTCGTGGGCGCTGGCCGGCACCTCAGTCCGTGCTGAAAAGGGATTTTGGGGTTAATAAGGTTTAGGGGTTAGGGATTTAGGGTTGAGGGGTTAAGGGTTGAGAACCGCTCCAAATCGTGAAGGGTTGGGGGGTCCAATCCTTGTCCACAAACCTTGTCCATTTGGGAGCCGCTCCAAATCGTCAAAGGTTTGGGGGGGTGCAACCTCTTCCCTGGAGCTGGAGAAATAAGGGAAACCCCGAATCCGGCCGACAGCCTGATGTCAAGTGCACATTTTATAAGCAGAATTTGGTAACAGAAAACCAGCTGTTAGCTTCCTGGAAAGGAAAACACGCCAAGTCGCCAAGTCGTGAAAAGTTGGGGGGGTCCAATCCTTGTCCGTTTGGGAACCGTCACATCCTTGTCCTGTTGGGAGGCCATTTCAAGTCGTGAAGGGTTGGGGGGTCCAATCAAATCGTGAAGGGTTGGGGGGGTTGCAACCATCGTCGAAGCAAAAATCTCAATTTTAAGGTTTCTTCTTTATACCACCACGTGGGAGGTGCCCGAGGGGCCGGCATGCATGGTGCCAGTCGCCTAGCTTTATGAAAACGCTATAATCCAGGCAGAAGGGCATATGCAGACGAACCTGCGCCGACGGCCATGAATCACACTCGCGGTTGAACTCTTTTTACTCCAAAAGACCTTCGAAGCTGTGAATGCTTTGTCTAGCGTTCTTGACGATTGTACATCTTTACACGTCGCAACTTCAGTCTTTGAGCACTGGGCTTCAGTACACAAACATATTCAAGGGCTCTTATGCATTCGGCCGACCACAGAGCATGGAATGCTAGTTCTGCACTCCTCCTTGATGTTATCGCCAGATTTACATCACTCAGTAGATGCGTCGGCCTCCATTCTCTACACAGCATCTGCACAACGTCACTTGCTGGACCGATCCTGCATTTCTCAGTCCCCAACACTCACGGAAACCATGCAAGTGATCTCGGCCGGGAACTTGATAGAACGGCCCTGCCACAACTTCTCGTTGCACCGGCGGTGTAGGAAGAACTCTTTGAAAGGCTGGCTCAATGTTGGCCTGCACTCCCTGTTCACGAGTTGTAGGCTCCATGGTCCTAGTAGGTGGTTTAGGCTGCTTATTGCTTGCTCTTGTAGTAGATGACGAAGCAGGCTCTCCAAGGACGGTATCAGGGTAAATTGGCTCAGGGAACCGTGGAATCGGGGAGGTTCCCTCTGGCATTGTATTCGAGAAACGTTCCTTGAGCTCCACCAATCGAATTTTCTGCTGTTGGTCCAGATCACCGGGGTCCAGGGATAGAAGCCGCTGTAGCTCCTTCAGCTCGGCTTTTGTAAGCTGCTTCTTGCTAGCTCTGGTTGCCTTTGCCTTGAGCGCTTTCAAACGGACCTCTCGTTTCCTTAGACATCCCTTGAATCCTTCCCACAGACCAATCACTGCAATCGCGAGCACCAAAACCACAAGGTACAAGTCCCATGGGATTTCGCTTTCTATTCCGGGCTTCTCTGCAACAGTCCCACAAACTTGACACAAAAGTAGAAGACGCTGTAGCCATGTAGGATCGACTTGAGCCCGCCTTTGTTGAGACTCCGTAGTCACTCTCCGATCAACAATGGACCACATAGCAACCAGCTGCTTCAGTCTTTCCCGGGTAAAAGGTTTGGTCCCCAAATCTGCTCGTTGGCTGTCGCCTGGTTCATGCCGCACTCGAATCTCAGTTGAAGAAACTTTTTCTTTCAACCAATTTAATTTTAACTTCAAGTGGCGAGTGCGCCAGCTTCCAGAGGATGTTGTAAGTAATGAGCAAGCCGCCATATTATCCACGTGGAGGTAGAGAGGGATCGTCCTTGCTGTCAGTTCTTCCAACAGTCCCCGGCATGATATTCCAAGGGTTGCCCCGTCAATGGACTCTATCAACTCTGACTCTGCCGTTGACATAGTCATCATAGCTTGTCTTGAGCTCCTCCATGTAATCGGGGATTCTCCGAAAAACACTGCCGCACATCCATGTGAACGACCCGCACTCGGAGCAAAGGATGAATCGGTATAAACCCGGAGTTCCGGTTGGGCAGTTTCCACAAACGATAGTCTGTAGTGATGCGTTTCGCACAAGTAGTCCAGCAGCCTTTCTCCTATACGGATCACTATTTCCGGGCTTCTTGTTGCTCGGCTCGCCATCACCGCAGTTGCATACTGAATGTCAGGCCTTGTGCGACCCGACAACCAAAGCATCTCTCCAACCTTCTTCTGGGCTAGCTTCACGAGCTCCTCCTGACCGGGTTGAGAATCGAGCTCACCCTTAATCAAGGCCTCCTCCTCCTCAACTGAAAGAAGCAGAGTCTCTTTTGAGCCTTGTGACTTTGATCTTGAACCATCATGGCGGTAGGCCCTCAGCAGCTCTGAAATAAAGCCTTCTTGAGAAACTTCCACTCCTCCTGGAACACTGTGTAGCTCCATGCCCAAGAAACGGATGGAATGTTCAGGAGAAAGAACATCAAGGTCATCACACTCACATTTGGCAGCCACCCATGAAAAGAAAGTCTGCATGATGTCCTCCGGAGCTTGAATCAACAAATCATCGATGACACCAGCAGGTATCCAAGGGGTTCTGAGTCAGAGTTCTCCTTCACAATCTTCCAAATCTGGTTGTCCGTTATCATCTGCTCAAGCTTCAGCATGACTTCCTTTCCATCCACAATGGCATTCCATCGCGCAGCTTTAAGCTCATTGTCCCTATGCTGAGACCAAAGGGCTGGTGACTCTCGTAGTCCATATATGGCCTGCTCAACAAACCACATATCGCCCGGCTGGGCGATTCCCAGCTCATAGGTCATAGGCTATTCCAGGCGGCTCCAAAGCCACAGGCTGTCCCTTCCACCTGGCCAGGACAAAGGCTTGCCTTATATCGGTGGTTCCTATGCGCCACTTGCGGTTTGCATTGAACGCCAGCATGGTACGCAGCGAAGTAGCATCCAGTCCAGCTGCGTAAAGATCAACTTCTGAACTCATCTCTGAAACTGTAGCCTTGAGGTCCCTTGTCCGGTTTTGTCGTGTAGACACCCTTACATGGAACGATCCGGCATCCAGGAGGTGACTCACTCTTCTTCTTGACCGTGAAAGCCCGCTTCACTTCAGTGAGGTTGTGGAACTCCTTGAGGGCTGAATTTCTCCAGTTATCAAGGTTCTTCTTGACATCTCCCAAACTCACGGTGTGGGTAACATCCAGCTGCTTCCCTTGGCGCTCACACTCCCTCAAGATCTCTTCCACATTCGGGGTATACTGTACTTCAGCTTTCCGGATCATCTTCTTCATGTTCACCTGGGGTTCATCATGGTGGTCGAACATCTCCGAGGGTTCCATCTCCTCAAACACTGCAGGCTGGGGCAACTCATTGTCCTTCAAAAAGGTTTTCATTTGAACCAGCTCTTGATCCTCCTCCTCATCCGAAGACCCGTTGTCCCCTTTGATCAAGGACTCCTTGTCTACATTGAAGCCTGCTTCTTCCAACTGTTCCACATGGGCTGCTGAAAGTCTCGTTGCCCTCGGCGTGTACATGAGCATCACCGTACGCGTACCTTCCCAAGGTTGAACTTGATGCCATAATCGAGGAGAAAAACTCATCACCTCACCCTCGGTGGCTTTTAAGATCTTGCCCTTGATCTCCTTGCCATTGGGTGAGATTTTTGTGGTTGACTCTTCATCACACACCATATCATCTTGAACCCAAAGTCCGCCTCCTTCGAAACCACATAAGGGCATCACATAGTTCTTGGCCTTAGCATAGTTGTGAACATCACGATGAAGACCCAACTGAGCATTCCTTGCAATCCCAACCGCTGAGAAGTTGACCTCACCCGCATAGTGCTTGGCCACGTTCACTAAGTACTTAGAGGTATTTGGGAAGTCCTTTAGGTTGGCTCTCACTCCCGCAACACCCCCATGAACAAAGGCACCCGTGTACCACGAAGTCATCCGGGTTTTCTTTGAGATCCTCCGATCACTATCCCCGCGGGTCTCCAAGAGGTCGTAGAGCTGGGTCTCAACGCAAACTGCTTCTCATCATTGAGTTTTCTCGCGCGAAACTCGATTTCAGCTCGAAGTTCTTGCCGTGTTGGTGGTTCTGGGGCTGCTAGTAGTTCATCAGGTAGGTCCTCTGCTATAGCGGGTGGTAGTAGAGCTGGGAGGTCTCGTTCGGGGTCTATCACGTTGAACTTGACACTCTTAGCCACAGTCAAGCCTCCATCTTCCCTCATGATCAAGTGGCCTCGCTTCACATCAACAGTTGGTCCGCGATACCATCCTCCTTTCCACCTCGTTCCCGCTGCGTCGTGCTTCTTCTCAGCCTTCCCCTGGTAGGTCTTTGATCTGAACCACGCCTCATTGCCAAACGTAGTTGCCGGTCTCGCCGCCCACGGGCTATCTGGAAAGGCCTTGACCAATAAAGCTGCTGAAGCCTACTGTGCAATCGCCATTGGCCATTCTCGAGGATGAGCTCCTGCACTTTTGATCAGTGCCCGAACCCGACTTTTGGCCCACTTGATCCCAAGCTCCGCCGTACTGTTGCCCGCTGGGTCGCCTCCTGCGGTTTTAGTACATCTAACACCCATATCCACCGCCCACTCCTTGAATGCTTTCGCCCGGAATTCTCGAGCGCGGTCTGAGTGGATCTGAGAAACGTGAAGTCCACATTGTTTGCATTGCAAGTAAATCTCTTTGGTGGCATTCAGGACGTGCGTTGCCGTTCTCCGCCTCAACGGCCTTGTGATATAAATTGTGATCGGTTCCTCAGGCTTCTCCAACTCATGAACAGCATCTTCCAAAGTCTCGGGACCACAAAGTTTTCGGTCTTCACCTTCAGAACTGGGTTCGTCTTCGCCTCCAGGTAGTAGTTCTGGTTCCTCTTCCATAACATCATCGGCACCTTCCTCTGGGTCATCTGGAACATATAGTTCACGTTCCACCTCACCAAGGGCCTTAGCAGAGAGGTAGTTCCTGGGGCACCTGTAAGCTGCAACCAGTATGTACTTGTAGTCCTCGTGGTCCATATCCCTCCCAGGCTGCTTGAAAGGTCCAGCAAGACCTACATAGAGCTAAGGTGTACATGGAGGGGTTAGACCTTCTTCTGTGCTGGTAGCCGGTGGCCTGTGCATTGATACACACCGAACAGTCAGCCCGATATGGCTGATGATCATTGAGCAAGTGGTTGCGCCATTGATCTTCTTGCTCTTTGGTCAGCTTCCCTATTTTCACGCAGCTGTCATTCTCAGAGTAGAGGTTGGCAAATTCGTGGTAGTCACTCAGGATTGCTTTCGCGACCAGGGTCTTGAAACCATTGGACCAAGTATTCATCTCCTCCTGGCTCAACAATGAAGGAGGAACACAGCTTTGATCGTAATCATAGACCCCATTGAGGCTGATCAAGTCCTGGTAGTTCGTGGCAATCGACAACGGATTCTGAGAACGATGGCCGTAGGCTCCCATATTGAACGAAGTTTTCTTCATACTGGTAACCGAACGGAAAGACCTCCATAGTTCACTTTGCCAGAATGACGCCCTTGGGGAATCTGCCGATCTTATCACCATCTCGTCCGCAGGAAAACACATTGCAAAACCCACATCCCCCGGGCCCTTGATCATAGCCAACATCCAAATCAGCATCGGCTTCACACAGTCAGCCGTCTCCTTGTTCACCCGGAGTTGCTGTAGAGGAGGCAATTCTTGTCGTCCATATGGTTCCTTGCGGGTTCGAAAGTCATACAAACCTGGATCACGATGGTTCTTTCGGGAGGTTGGCCAGGTGCTGTGTTGGGGTGCTGAGATCACATCCGAAATCTTCCCCTGAGAGGCTGCCCACAAAAGCATTCGGTAAACTCCCTCTCTCTTACCAACATCCCACAGCTTGGAGTTCTTGAAGTCAATGTTCAACAGGATTTTTCCTCCCTTGGCGATCATTTCAAAGGGGTCCGTTCCTCCCTTGTCCTCGCCGCTGTTAATGTTGACAGCCCACTGGCTATGCACCATCAAAGCCCTTCTCTTCCTTCGCGTCAAAGGAAGATCTTTTAGGTAGCGCTCCCCAGAATTCACATCGAAACCCTCAATCAACATGGCCTTGACATCCTCAGGGAGGTCCTTGGTCACGGGACATGTGTGGATCACCTTGAAGAGGGTCGCCTGATTTCCGGTGGCCGCATACTCCTTCAAGAGCTCATCCCACGGCCTTTGCACTTCCTTCTTCATCACTTCCAAACGCGCGCTCAACGTTTCCACTTGGTCGTTGAGTAGCTTGATATGCTTGGCCTCAAGTTCCTGGATGAGAGCTAAGGCATCTCTCACTTGCAGTTCTGGACAGTTGTTCACAAGGTTCACTTTCATCATTCCACGCTTCGGGTGGTAGAGCTGCAAAGAACCTTTCTTCCACCTCAAGGAACAGCCCAAGTCCTGCAAGTTCTGCCGTAGAAGTCGTACATCTTCCCCAGCTAAGGTGACAGATACAGGGTGGCCCTTCTGGTACTCTTCCTCCGTCGCCTCGCGCATCGCATGGCTTGCTCCACTGTCCAACAAACCGTTCATCGTAGTACTCTTGTCCACCACCGACGTCTTCAATGATGCTTCCACTTGGTTCATCTTTTCTTGAAATCCCAACTCCCACACCGAAGCCCTTTTAATGTTCACGATTTCAACATCTTCCCCACATCGGCTAGCACTTCCTTTAAGTCGACCTGTGGTGCCCCCTCTGAAGCCGAAGACTCCGCTGAAGTCCTTGGGCACACAGCTTCAACCTGTGGGACGTCGTCAATGCGAACAGTCTTGCTCGTTGATGTAGGCTGGGAAGTAGTCGTGGTTGATGCAGCAGGTGGCTTCTGTGGCGCTGATTTCGGTGTTCCCGGTGTCTGCGTACTTGGCTTCTTGGTGTGACAGTCCTTCGTCGAGTGGCCTTTTCCCCCGCAGGTCCAACACCTGTTCTGCTTCTCCTTTTCATTGCCCTCCCACGAGTGCTTAAACGGACATTTTGTTCCTCTGGCACAGCCTTTGTAGGTGAGGCCGTAGAACTTACATGGGACACTCGCCTTCGCCGCCCTCTCGGTATCCTCGCCCGAACTTCGGTCTCCTGATGGTGTTCTTGGTGGCGGCGGTGGAACGAGGATATTGTCCTTGTTGTCCGTCCTCATAGGCTTGATTTTAGGTTCTGGTCTTGGAGCTCCGGTAGTTGTAGGCTGCGGGGAGGTTGTTGAGGTTGAGGTTACCGTAGAGCTCGCAACTGCCATGGTTTCACATTCCGCCAACAGGTGGTGGTGGTACTTCTCCACAGAGTCGTAGGATGGCTTTGTGTCTACCAAAAGCGTGCTACGAACCAGGCTTGTGCGGAAATTCACTTCCATGTCCTTTTCCAGCACTTGTTTTGTTATTGTAGATAAACCTCTGACCAGCAGGCTTGGGTCAGGGGCGGTCACATTGAGTTCTCGACAACGACGAAGCCACCTTGCCCATGCCCTCAACGGAGTCACTGCCTTCTGGGGGGTAGCTGCTGCCTCTGGCGACTGCAAACTCTGAAGTATATGCACTCTTTCTTGCTGCCCGCCCGGCTGGTAGAGCGTCATCAAACGGAATATCAAAGCACATGTTGACCCCGTAGACCTCCTCTGAACCATCTCTTGTCTGACCGACTCGTGCAAGGCGAGAAGCACCATCGAGGCTCCTCGGGAGTTCACTCTCCCCCATCTTCCCGACTCCAACTCTTCCTCCTTTGGAGGTTGTATCACCAGTTTTTCAACCGGCGACGCACTGGCCCACCGATTGTAGGCTTCCGTTGCTGCTGCCCTCACCTTAGACCACCACTCTGCACTTCCGTCCGAGAGGTCCTGCATGGGAGTCGTGATCACCTCCAGCCAGTCCATAATGTCCACGGAGCTCGTCTGAGGATTGACCTGCGGTAGAGGAGGAAGCGTTAGCGTGCCAGGTTTGACCGTCTCCGGGCTAGTAGGACTCGTTTTATCTTTTTCATTGTTGTGCACCATCTGCTTCAACATCACGGCTTGGAGCTGAGCCATACCTCCTGCTAAGAGAGCCATTGGATCACTAGGGGCACTTCCACCTAGCCATTGCTGAGCCGATTGCCCGGCATCCGCTCCTCTTGAGGAAGCTTGCTGCGCGCTGCCACCTGTAGTAGCCTGATTGTCCTTGGTATCGGGCACCCCAGACTCTTGACCGCGTGCATGCTCATTGGTAGGACCAGACTCTTGACCGCGTGCATGCTCATAAAAACGACCTTCGTGGGCAGACTGTTGTGGATTCCCTCGAGGTACTGTAGGTGCTTCTGGTACATTCCCGAGTCCTTCTCTTTGGCTTCCGACATCTCCTGTTACAGGGCCTGGACCTTCATGGGCGGACTGTTGTGGATTCCCTGGAGGTACTGTAGGTGCCTGTGGTAGCGGAGCATGACCTCATACTTCGGGTCCTCGGTGAAGCTGCTGTTCTGGTAAAGTTCCCTGGTGTCCTTCGTGGGCAGACTGTTGAGGATTCCCTTGAGGTACTGTAGGTACTTGTGGTAGCGGAGCTCTGGGTGGTAGATTAGGAAGATCTTCTCCGGGTACAGTCAAACCTCCTTGTCCTTCTGAAACCCTTGAAGCTCTACCCATCCAGTAGCTTCTCTCATTCCTCAGCTGTTCCACTTCACGAACCAGGTGTTGAACTTGCTCTTGGTGTCGAACAGTATACTCTTCTAGCTGACGTTGCACTTCGGCCTGAAGTCTTGAGGATCGTTCGGACTCCGGCTCCGACTGCTGAGCCCGGTGCCCATATATCCAAGGATGATCTCGCTGGGCTTGTCGCATCTGTTCCAGCTGCCTTTCATCGAACAGCGGAGGCTCCATTGGCCGAGCTGTCCACGACAGAGGAACAGGAGGAGGTAAAGGAGGACCGTGTCCAGGTAGCTCTTCAGGCGGCGAAATATTCAAATGCGTACCTGTAGAAGCTCTCACCTGGATCTCCCTCATTGCTCGTTGTTGGGGCACCGATGGAATACGGAAACTCTCCAGCACACGATCCATACCCTCAACTCCACGATGCGCTGTAGTCCTCAAAAACTCCGACACTCGTGCAAACCATCTGACTCCATTCTGCTCCGGTCCCGACGACCCACTCTCTGCAGAATAAAACTCTTGCACTCTCATGGCTGAACTCGTAGGAGTCATTGGAGTTGTCATCTCTCTCACCGTCACAACGGGAGGTGCAGCTAAAGCAACCTGTTCGTTTATAACGTTCGCGCTCGGGTCCGGTACTGCTTGATACGCCGGTTCCACCAGCTCCGGTTGCGTAGCCCTCTCACCAAACGTCATAGTCGTTCCAGCTTGCAGATCACCAGCGGTGGGTGCGGGATCATGTAGATTTGGATTTTCCAAAAGCTGCTGTCCACTTTGCCCCATCACACCAGCATCCATTTGTGCAGGAACTCGCACAACACCATTTGGCAGGGTGCCATAAACTGCTGCGCCATCTCCTTGCAAACGGGTTCTCGCGGAGTCGCCCTCTGGTGCTTGGGCGCTCATAACCTGAAAACGTTATAATCCAGGCAGAAGGGCTTATGCAGACGAACCTGCGCCGACGGCCATGAATCACACTCGCGGTTGAACTCTTTTTACTCCAAAAGACCTTCGAAGCTGTGAATGCTTTGTCTAGCGTTCTTGACGATTGTACATCTTTACACGTCGCAACTTCAGTCTTTGAGCACTGGGCTTCAGTACACAAACATATTCAAGGGCTCTTATGCATTCGGCCGACCACAGAGCATGGAATGCTAGTTCTGCACTTTACCTAGGCTCCGCGTACTCGTTTTCTGCCGCTCGCGAAGCTCGGGCCGTTTCGGGCTCCGCGGTGGCGGTTGTCGAGCCCTCAGCGAAGACTTTACGGATTTCGGGTTTAGGGGTTAGTTAGGGGTTAGGGGTTTAAGGATAAGGGACCTCTAAAGAAAGGGGGTGTTGGGATGTCCGGGGGCTTTGTCAAGCTCCTGTCCGTCTGCAAAGGGCACAGAGAGTCTCAGAGTCTAGGATTCAGAGGCTCCATATTTCTTGCAGGTAGACACAAGGTCGTAGCACTCACAGTGATTATGAGCGCTTGCGGAACCGACTTGTCGCATCTTTGCACTGGTTATGCACAGCTCAGGATGAGCCAATACTGACGTCATTGAAGTCAGCTGATCTTCCAACCCCGTGTGTCCCAATCTTATTCAACGTATTCGTCAACTCTGAGCGTTCAACCGTTATGTTGCTGACACGGCATTTCTAAGTTGCTCAAAACAAGTGTTTAGACTGTGCTGGTACATCCCCAAATCAAGATCCCTGTGTAGAGCTTTCTTTGTAACCTGTCGTGTAGTCTACCTACCTATTTTGGAGAATGGCCCGTGTGCTAGTTTTGTGGCCCTACTGGCCTGCGCTATCTATTTGGACATCCCTACAAAGTAATGGCCGCGACCGATAGTGTTCAAGTGTTGCTCCCAAAGATTATTGGGATGATCATCCTCACGAGGTCGCAGGCTACGAGCCCAGACCTGTGTTTCAGCTTTCTGCTTATAGTACATGTTGCCACTCCCTGCATTGAGCCGAGCTTGTCAGGATGAACCTAAGCACCGCACTGTGCTTCAATGAGCGGAGTGCGCCTTAAGGGATTATGTTTGTGTGTCTCTGTCCCTGTCGCTCTCTCGCTCTCTCTCTCTCTCTCTCTCTCTCTCTCTCTTTTCCTCATTGTGAGATTATAGGCTTGATGTGTGAGCTCCGTAGTTGTGACAGCTTCATCAAACTCTCGCGAAGCACCATTGGATTCCAATGGTTGGCCCTACCTCAGTTAAGCGCTTATGCTACATCAGCCTTGCAAAGTGTGCTGAATCAAGCTACTACCGTCTGTAGTCGGCCCTCAGCCAAGCACTGGCAATTGGAAGGGATGTGACCGGAGATCCGTCTTGAGGAGTGCTAGTTCGACGGCGAACATGATGAAACAACGAAATGCATCAGCACACAGGTAGGCAGACCGACCCCGTGTCGTAGGTCGTTTTTCGCATGTGTTAGTGACACCATCTGCTTGAGGTGTGAAGAGTACAGCACATCTTCGACAACATAAATGATGCCAGCGTTCACAAGCTGCAGTCATCATCTCGGTAGCCGGTTCGACATGTACCAATGTCACCTGCACATACTATTCCCTGAACGTCATTGCGACAAGCATGCAGTTCGTGGGCCAGGAGCACCTGGACGTCCAGCGTGATCTGAGCTACCTCGTTGCGACTTTGGGATTACCGTTGCGTGGATGTAGACATGCTTCCCTGCCGCACCTAACCTCATTAAGTTCCGATGTGCAGCATATGGGGTTGTCTTGTTTCCAGTGGAGGAACGGATGCAAGAACTGCATGTGCAATTGATGTTAAAACCTGTGCATCTAACTTTGGGAGGTTCTGTCCACAAATCTTTGTTTGTAGTTATGTAAGTGTATGTAAGTCGTTTCACGCGAGATTCACAGATATGAAGTATTGGTGGTTGCTGACATGTTTTGGTTTTTGCCGCATACCCGTTGATCGGGTGGATTTGGACCTGCTTCGGTGCAAATCTGGGGTAGTCTCCGATTCGGAGCCTTGCATT